AGGCAAGAGCAAGAAAGAGAAGAAGCGAGAACCCGAAGCGAGAGCGAATTATAACACAATAGTAAGAAGTTAAGAAATCTCGAAAATGTCTTGAGAGAGAGATGAAGAAGATAGATGACACTGTGACAGATATAGTTGGATCAGTACTATCAGCTGAGGAAAGAAGTAGAGGAGTAGATATGCGTGCCGGTGTGCCGTGGTGCATCGAGAGACCAATACTTGAGAGATTAGGCGAGGATACAGAAGGAAAGGCAAGAAGACGCAGAAGACATAGAGAAGACACCAGCAGAGACGAAGAAAGCAGGAGAAGAGAGAAGAGCGAGTATGAGAGAGGAGAGAGATGAGCAGTAGGGATGAAGAACGAGGAGAGAGATAGCAAGACAGAGAAAGTTAGAACAAAAATGAATTGAAAAGGAAAGTCCGCAAGAACAATCGGAACACGCAGACGAACTCCGTTGTGGAGCAGAGAATGTTATTTGCCAACACATCACACAGCGGCGGTTGTCGGGAAGGAGGCAACAGGTGTGAGCAGAATGTTGCGAGCAGCCTGCCACAATATACTATGCGTATTCGGAATACACGCGAACGCTCACATCACAGCTGCTGATTTGCGCACATGGTATATATGTCCAGGTTTTCTGAATATGAGATGGTGAACTCGATTCTGGAACGAGCAAACCAGCAAGTTACCCCCTACATTTTGGTATTTTTATTCATTATTATGTTTGAGAATTTTTCCGGTAATGGCTTGCCCATGCAAGAACAACAACAGTGAGGATTCATGTTTGATTCCGAAAGTTAACCAAAGAGAATTGTCGTAGGTCAGAATGAGGCTGAATCATGTACTTCAAGAAGCTGCCACAATACCATCTCCTGCGATCGTACATTTCAAAATTTTCTGGGGGGAGGACCCATACTCCCGCCCTCCCCGCGTTTGTTTTCACAGCACATCTCTCACGGAGAACAATTTTCGTCCCACACCAAGAGCCATGCAGCCACTAGATCTTCTCAGCAGCCGGCATAGTTTCTGTTAGTTTCTTCTCCCCTTACTGGACCCCCACATAGATGCGGCACCTGGTGAGTTGTTTTTATCATCAGTGAGGCAGCAGCTTAAGATGCAAACTAGTTTCACATGTGTCTGCCGTTAGAATTCGGGGATTTAATTCAACGCCCAGTTTCTCATTACCTACTGCGGCGACGGTACACGTCACCTTTGTGAACTATACACGCGCGCGCGCCGACACGACAGATTATGTACGACCGACCATGCCGTACAGCACACCGGCTGCGCGCACACGACCCACACACAGGCGACGCACTTCGCGCTGCGACGGAAGCACGCACGCAGCGGCACGCACGGCACGCCACGACGTGGCTTGACACACACAACCGAGGTGTCCGCTACCTTTGAATCCTAATGATCACACAACACACGAGCACGTCGCAACGCCGCGCTGCGCTGCACGGCACGAAGCACGCACGTCACTTACCACACACACATACACACACATACACGACACACACCCACACACACCGACAACACAGCACACAAGCACCCAGCACACACACACACAGGGGAATGAGGAGAGGGGCGAAGATGAGAGAGAGCCCAGAGAGAGAGAGAGAGAGAAGTTTAGAGAGAGAGAGCGCTTCTTCTCTCTCTTCTTCTTCTCTCTCTCTCTCTCTCTCTCTCTCTCTCTCTCTCGCACACACACACAATTCCTCGTGTCCCGTCTCTCGCTCTCCGTCTCTCGGTTTCTCGCCTTCTCTTTCCCTTTCATTCCCACACGCCACCCTCTCCCCCCCCCTCTCACTCGCTCTGTCTCGCTCTCTTGCACCGCTCTGTGCCCGACCGACTTTTGTCCCTACTCCGATCCCGTTTTCGCTTCTTAAATTTCTTCCAAATTGTAGCGGCGGGGACGCCTGGGAACAACGATGAAAGCTTGTAGAACAACAATGATTCGAGTAGATTCTGATAATCCCCGCGAGTGCAATTTAGCGAGGAACGCGCGCATATACACACGCGTGCGCCCGCGAGGCACACATATACACTCACGCACGCACGCACGCACGCACGCACGCTCAGAATCACACACACACACACACACGCACGCACGCACACACACACGCACGCGCGCACAGCGGTCGCGCCCTGCTGGCTATTGTCTGTCGCACTCCAGCTGCCCTTACTTATGCGTGAAATTCTACTGTTCACAGGCTCTGTACACAACACGACTTCACTCGCGCTCTCGCTCTTTCTTTCTCTCTTTCTTTCTTTCACTCTCTCTGTTTCGCGCGCGGTCTCTCTCTCTCTCTCTCTCTCTCTCTCTTTCTCTCACTTTCTTGCTCGCTTTCTCTTTTTCTCTATCTGTTAATCTCATTTTGATTTATTGCACGCACATACCCTCTGCGATGTTAACTGCAATTAAATTATTGTCACAATGAAATGCATTAAATTATAGCCATGACGAAATACATTATGTTATTGCTACAATGAAAGCCGGATTCGTGATCTCCGGCATTTCACAACTTTGCGATGAATACTAATGAATACTAATGATATTTCCGTGACCTACTCACTGCAGATGGCAATATACCGCGGTCAAATGTAATGTAAGGTGACATTTAAGATTAAATGTATTATATGATGAAATGTAATATATGATGAAATATAACGTATAATGAAATGTAATGTAAGATGAAATGTAATATGTGATAAAATATAACGTATAATAAAATGTAATGTAAGATGAAATGTAATATATGATGAAATATAAACGTATAATTAAATGTAATGTAATATGAAATGTAATATATGATGAAATATAATGTATAATAAAATCTAATGTAAGATGAATTCTATTGTAAGATGAAATGTAATTTATATAATAAAATGCCATGCACGACGAATTGCAGTTTCTCTCTCTCATCTGCATCAACAAAGTCACCAACGTTTGTCATTACGCTTAACACATTCCCCTCTTTCTTCATCTTCGTTACTCAGTGTCACAGGAATTTCAAAGAGCAACACTACGTGCGCTACATCCTACACTGACATACTGATTATACACGACCTTCACACAGACGTAATGTCAATATGGTAAATAGTTTACCCATTCAACAGAGACATGATTGCAAGGCAACATCTATTGCAGCGGTCACGAACATCGAGATAAAAATAATAGCCACGAAATAATACGGTATTATCTAGTTTGTTGGCGCTCTCGCACGTGAATCGATGACGTGACCACGTGTCAATGTGACGTGAGCGTTATATGCGAGATCGGTTCATGCGTCATCGACATGAAGCGTTATCAAACTACTTGTGAAAAAACGCTCCGTCAGTTTCCGTTGGCATTTTCGTGTCGGCAATTCGCGTTAATTCGTAGAAGGCGGCGGAATGTGTGAAATATGATTAGTATTCACACTGAGGTTGTGAATATCAGGATCGGCGATCAAGTTTTACGAACGAAGTCACGCGCCCATCGTGAAGTTAATTTGACAGCGGTAAATTTCGCAACCGGGGGCGTGTGTATTAACTCATGATGAGATAGGATTGAATGAAATTAGATTGATTATATATATATATATGTATATATATATAT